GTGGACGGAAACACATTTCAAACTTTGAACTAACGAGCTTAGTGTCTCACAAATAACTCTATTATACTACATGTATTCATCATATTAGCATGCCAACAAGTGTAGTTGTTAACAATATAGATGCATCACACATACAAAGCAAAACTAAGCATCATGATTAGTCTGAGGTCGTATCAGCATCACGAGACTCACACTCCTCTAGGTTATGATAAAGTTACTCTAGATAAGATCTAGGTCACATAGCATCATCATCTAACACGTGAGTAGTATATTTCTCTAGAGTATTCTAGATAAGATTGGGTAACCTGAACATTGGAGTAACATTCGACTAGCATTATATATAACATAATATTAATTTGGATGTATTTGAATATTTATCATACAAACAAGATGATTTTCATGCACAAGTAACTCGGGTGTCCTTATCATTTCCCGAGTGTTAAACAAAGGCATAAGTCTAATAGAATCTTACCTCATAGTATTATTATGTTTAATCGCATACATTTAATCAATGTTTCCACTTTCAAGCTTTTAATAGTGGTCAAGACATCTCTAAACTTCTTACTCGAGTCTTTCATTGAAACAAAGTTTTCTAACTATTCCTCCAAGATGGTATGGATACCTACCTTTGGGTATTGATACCAAACCTAAGGTATCAATACTTACCCTAAGTATCGATACCAAAAAACACCTTAAAGTTCAATTTAATACCCATGGTATCGATTCTTCCACACAAGTATCAATACTACCCTTCAGATGTATCAATAACAAAATAGCTCTCAAAGTTTATCAAAATAAACCTAGTATCAATACCCTTATCCAGAGTATTGATACTCACCTGATGGTACTAATATCAACCCTAAGTATCAATATCAATTTAAGCCCTAAAGTTTGAAAATAAACCATGTATTGATATCACTACCTTTGGTATCGATACTCGACGTACATTATTTATACCTCAAGAACATTGTATCGATACTATCCAACTACATCTCAAATCTTGACCCTCGTATGAACAATATCAATACTAAATCATTCAGTATCATTACTCAAGCACACATTATGCTACACGCATTCATACAAGCAAACAAGCTACACATGTTGATCTACAAGTGTTATAGTTGAGTTAGAAGTGTGACATATTACTCCAAAACAGCTAGAATCCCTCTTAGCTTAACCAATCATAAACTTTTCATTGTTCTTATCTTTAAAGCTTTGTCCCACTTCTCTCACTAATCAACAAGCAAGAAACAAGTTATTAACTTATCTAGGAACTTGAAAAGAAGTCAAAGAAACTTCCTACATACTGAAATACAATCAAAATGGGTTGATTAAGTTAAGGGTTCTAAAACCTATTCTAAACCCTCACCATGGCCAAACTTATAGAAAGAGAGCTTGAATTGAAGCTTTAAGTGAGGAGATTATATTATTTAACTTTGTAAACTTGGACTAGGAATGTTGGACAAAAAAGTTCTTACCTTTAATCAAGATACCGAGAAGAAAAGATATATTATAAAATGAAATATTTTTATTAATGTGTCACGTTATCAAACTAACGACATTTAACGTCTAAGTGACCAAAACTTAATAAAACGATAACATTCCAAAATTATTTAGAGATAAAATAGTATTTAAATTTTATGGGTTAAATTAGTATTTTATCTCAGGTTTAAGGATTAAATTTAAAATTAACCTCAAATTAAAAATTACACTCTTTTTAAAATAATGTATCATGTCATCAAACTAACAACATTTAACGTTATATTGATCAAAATGTTATAAATCGATAACACAACTACACAAGTGACAAAAAATTATAAATTGATAACATAAGTGACACGAATATTATTTTAGTCACTTACATTATCATTTTATTAAATTTTGGTCACTTGAACGTTGAATGTCGTTAGTATGTGATGTGACATATTAATAAAATGGTTTAATTTTTATTTTAACCTCCGGATTTTAGATAAAATACTAATTTGGACCTTTTTGTAAATCTAAAACAACTTAGAGACAAGTTTTTAATTTATCTTTTATAATATGTTTTTATTCATCTTTGTCGAAGCCCTAACCCCTTGTGTTGGCTCTCTCTTCATCTTCTTCGTCACCGATAATCTATGTTCGACTTTCAAGCATCCTTTATGAATATATAAAATAATCTAATATGGTCCGCCCCCCGAATCCGAAAGATTAAGTGTCACGCCAAATTCTACACTACTTCTTTGGAATCGATGCTCGATTTCGCAACCAGCATCTTCGAATCCAATGCCGATTTCAAGATCGTTGCGACGGAACATCATACGAAGTTGATGACACTTTTCCAAAACTATACCGTGTTAGAAACATCGGAATAGATACTGGCTCCGGTGATGGTGTCGTGTCACACCAAACCCTACCCATATGTCGTATTGTATTGCCATAGCCAGTTGACGGAGAACAGAGTTTTTAAGGTATCATTGGGTGGTAAGAATGGTGATCGGGTGACCGCGCTTGCTGTTGTCACATGGATACTTTGCAGTGGAACCGAAACCATGTGTCGTTTCGCGTACTGGGGATCAAACCTGGGACACTTCCTGTCTGCCTTTTCTTCCCGGCGGACAACTTTGTTCTTGTTCCGGACACTTCAATTTGAAATACTTGTGTTTGTTGCGAGACATGTGTTGTCTCGAGTATTAAATTAGTCATAATTTAAAATAATTCAATAGATCACTTTTGTCGTTAAAATTTTGACTTTCTGTCAAATTTTGGCCACGGTCTCGTTAAAATTTTGCTAAAACCCCTTTCGAATTGAAGTTACAATATCTTCCATGGGTAATTATAGTTGGCTTTCTGGAACAAGAACTTGGAAATTTACTGAATGCAGAGTGATGCTTTATTCGGTTACATGCATGCACCACGAGTCATGGTTTTCGTAAATCCGCCATCAAGTATTAATAAATTAAATCCCACATCAAGCATTAAAAAATTAAAAAATTATTTTAAATTAAAATATGAATCAAATTAATAGGATTTTGAAATATTGAGGTTTTATTGAATTATTTCAAATTATAATGAATTTAATAGAATATGTGAGTTTTGATGAATAATATTGTTATTATACTATGCCATAACATCATTTTCGTTATAGTCAAATCGAACATTGGGAGACAAAAACAGAAACGAAACGTAGTGTTAGAAATGGTTGTGAAAAAAAAAGTTGAGTGACCAAAACAAAAACATGAGAATAGATGGGTGACAATTAATTAGTTTAACCTAAAAATAATTAAGTCCTCAAATTTTATAGAAAATCATTTAAATTTTATGCCATATCATCATTCACATGTTATAAGTTTTTTTCAAAGCTCTAAGAAGATTAATACCAATAATCAAAACAGAAACATGATAATAGATGGTTTGACTGGACCAGTTCGATCTAGCTAGATCGGTTTCAGAAGCTTCCTGGAGCGGCGGACAAATCTCACGTGCACTATCGGTACGTGACAGCTTGTACGGCGGCAACAAGGGTCGGGACGGATGGCCGAAGACTCCCGAAGTATTCTCACACCAAAACAATCCCAAATCAATACCAATAATCAACTAAAACCAAATAAAAATGATAAAGGGAGCGATTGGAGTTCATTACCAATGGTGACTGGAGAAAAACACGACGACAGGGACACTGCCAATTGGGCCCTAACTGCGACTGAATGGGGAGCTCAATGGTGAGGGTGGTGTAATTCAACGGGACGTAATCGACGTAAATTTAAAGAAATCGAAGGCGGTGGCTTGGTTTCCCATCGAACGCTTCAAACGTCGATTCTCAACAAATGTCAACATATCAAGGCAAGGGACAATGGGGGTTTTGATCGCACGGCACCGACAGTCCCAACGGCGATGGTGGTGCACGACATTGCCGACCAGAGCTTAAACGACGATGAGGGAAGTGGTTTTGGATGAGGAGACCAATCCCTTACACGCACAATAAGATAACTCAACCACTCCAGCCCTAACCCGATTATCACCTAGATTTAAAGATAGCATCCCTAGATAAACTATTAGTAGTCATCCAATCAGCCAATGATCCACAAGAACTCGACTCACCTTTAAAATCAACCAACTTAATAATGTTAATCCGATCATCCATAACCCGAAAGATCAATCCTAGAGTCTCAATAATCCGATCATTAATTACTACAAAATCGCGATTTAGATCAATATCAAGTTTTATGTTTGTATTATTTTCGTTAAAACGAATATATATTGCATTTCCGACATTCAATTGAGGCGTTTCAAGATTGTTAAAAAGATAACTGAAAGACCATTCATACGTAAGACGACATCTCAGCCCAAAACTATATGAATATCATCCAAAAATTCATTGTAAGTCGCTTGATATTCACTTCAAAATCCACTTTAATTTCTTATTCAAAATTATTGTTATTTATTTTAAGTTAAATCTCAAAAATAAACATGAATACGTGTGTGAAGATCAAACGTCATCCCCGATAGGTCCCCAGAAATCTCTCTGGCATACCCGGGTTAACTATAATCGTACCCATTCAACATGAGACGTATACCCAAGTTATACTTATACTTATGTCCGTCTTGTACTCATCTCTGAGACGTATTAAGTACTTAAAATGGTATCAGATTACCATACCCGTGTAACATAGTTTAATTTAATAAAAAATTAAAATTAAAAATCAAAATATTATTTAAAAAATTGAGTGCAAAAGATGAATATGTTTTTTTAATTAATGATTTTCTTTACTTTTCTTTTTGTCACTTTTACACAGAGCTTACGTCCAAATGAAATAATTTTTCATCAATTTGGAAATATAAATAGGAGACAATGCTTCACCCATCTTCAATTATTGATCTTTCTGGCCATATATATATATATATATATATATATATATATATACAACACATATATTATTTTGAATGCATAAGATTCTTCTTCCTTGAAAGCCCAATATTTTATTAAACGATTACTTCTCTTTTGATGAACATAGTCTTCAAGTTGAACCTGAAAGTCAACAACAAACTTCTTTAATTCACAGTCTCTGCAAATCAACTATAGATTGATCCAATTTAAAATCCGTCTCAAAAGATTTATCTATTTCTACATGTACTTAAACTTACCAATTTTCTTCGGATGGTAGAAAAAAGGAATTGGATTTATAACATATTCTTTTCCTGCATTGTCCATTTCCTGACCATCTATTTATAAGAGATAAAATAAAAGAACTATAAACCGATCAAAATTTAAATTCGTAACAAAAGATTTATCCATTTCTACATGTTACTGAAACTTACCAATTTTCTTCGGATGGTAGAAAAAAGGAATTGGGTTTATAACAGATTCTTTTTCTGCATTATCTATTTCCTGATCATCTATTTATAAGAGATAAAATAAAAGAATTATAGGCCGATCAAAATTATTTAAATTTGTAACAAAAGATTTATCCATTTCTACATGTTACTGAAACTTACCAACTTTCTTCGGATGGTAAAAAAAAGGAATTGGGTTTATGACATATTTTTTTCCTGCATTGTCCATTTCCTGACCATCTATTTATAAGAGATAAAATAAAAGAGTTATAGACCGATCAAAATTTAAATTTATAACAAAAGATTTATCCATTTCTACATGTTACTGAAACTTACCAACTTTCTTCGTATGGTAGAAAAAAGGAATTGGGTTTATAACATATTCTTTTCCTGCATTGCCCATTTCCTGACCATCTAATTATAAGAGATAAAATAAAAGAATTATAGACCGATCAAAATTTCAATTTGTAACAAAAGATTTTTCCATTTCTACATGTTACTGAAACTTACCAACTTTCTTCGGATGGTAGAAAAAAGGAATTGGGTTTATGACATATTCTTTTCCTGCATTGTCCATTTTCTGACCATCTTTTTATACGAGATAAAATAAAAGAATTATAAACCGATCAAAATTTAAATTTGTAACAAAATATTTATCCATTACTATAAGTTATTGAAACTTACCAACTTTCTTCGGATGGTAGAAAAAAGGAATTGGGTTTATAACATATTCTTTTCCTGCTTTGATCATTTCCTGACCATCTATTTATAAGAGATAAAATAAAAGAATTGTAGACTGATCAAAATTTAAATTTGTAGCAAAATATTTATCCATTTCTACATGTTACTGAAACTTACCAACTTTCTTCGGATGGTAGAAAAAATGAATTGGGTTTATAACATATTTTTTCCCTGCATTATCCATTTCCTGACCATCTTTTTATAAGAGATAAAATAAAATAATTATAAACCGATCAAAATTTAATTTCTTAACAAAAGATTTATCCATTTTTAATTGTTACTAACTTACCAACTTTCTTTGGATAGTAGATAGCAGGAATTGGGTTTATAACATACTGTTGTTTTGCTTCTTTAGTTGTTTCTGTCTGAAACTTTTCCTTCGTTTCATCATTATATCCCTCGCCTGGCCCTTTTCTTGCTGCGATTGTGTTAGAAAACTGCATAATAATTAAGCAATGGAGAGTTTTTAATCATGAGTTTTATCAATATTTGATATTGTAATTATTTTACTTTAATTTTGACTAAATTTGTATTCATTTTAAAAATTAGATATTTAGATGTTACGTTGTACGTGGATAGTATAGTAATTTAAATTTAACTTTTTATTTATCAAATACTATTTTGTATTAATTTAACTATTTTATCATAAAAAGTACATATTTTATTAAATGAGTCAAAGTAAAAAAATTAAAACTCAACAAGGATCTCACTAGTAAAAGAAAAAAATTATCATTTTCAGAGGTCCTAGATTTGATAAGCCTGTACATCCTATAGATGCAACTATTCGAATTCAGGGTCTCTAGGGAGAATAACAATCATTTTTACTTAGTAATGGGCATGGGTCGGGTTAGGTTTTCGACTAACCCAATACGACCGAAAAAAGTATGCACTCACTACCCGAAATCTGACCCGACTTGAGTTTAAGGTGATTTCACTCGACCCGAAATAAATATATTTATAAAAATTATTAATTTTATTTGATATAATAGGAATCTAATTGAAAAAATATATATAGAGATATATTATTATAATTATCCCTAAATATATAAGATATGATTACATTATTTTTATAATCAGATATTGTTCACAATAAATTTGAACTCGATCTGATCTGAACTTTTTTTTTAAAATCTGGCCCAACAAAATCGAGTCAAGACTAAACATGTTAAATTCGAATCTCGTACCAATCCCTATTTTTATAACTAAAACCAATACATGGATTATTAATTACTTGTTTTTCAAACATAAATGCTTAAGGAATGTAAAGAAAATAATGAGGAAAAAGAAAATGTACCAAAAGTATGCAGAGGAAAAAAATATATTATATTTTAAATAAGTGTCACCTAACCAATATTAAATAGCAATTTGTAGATATTATATTTTAATTGAACAAAAAGATAAGTAAGAGTCACGTTCGATTATATTATTAGGAAAAAAATTAAATAATCGAATAAATATTTCTATGATGTTTATAATTTTAATTGGTTATGATGACTCCTCTGAACGGGCTATTGACACTGGTGGCGAATTATAGAGTTTTTAAGGAAGAAAAAGAAGAAATGATAAATTATTTTTTTATGAAAAATGAGAAAATTTTTAAGAGAAAGAGATTATTTGATTTAAGTCTCTAATTAAATTAATATTTATATTCATTAATTTTTTAATTTATATTTTTAAATTTGTTAATATGAAATAATAGAGTACAATGATGATGATTCAGTGAATATATAGAGATTATGTTTTTCATATTTGATTAATTATTTTAAAATGTTGAATAAATGGTTTTAAAAGAAAAAAATTAATCCCTTTGATAAACCGTGTGACACTTAAATCAAATATGGTTTAAGGGATCAGTTAAGGTACAAAGAAGCTGGAATATAGGATGAGAGGAGAGAAAATGGGTTTGGATATGTGGATGGATGTTCTCTTATTGTATGGATATGGGTCCTGACAAACGGATTTTGGGCCTAAATTTTTTTTGACAAGACAATATGTTAATACAAGATTGATCAAGTGGAGGAGGACCGAGATCTCCATTTTGAAGTCAAAAGAGAATTACTGATAAACATTTATGCACATAAGAAAGCCATGAATTACATTTAGATACATATCTATTGAATTCACATTTCAAGCATCAAAGCATATTTTTACAGATTTTTCAAGAAAATAAGAGAATAAAAAGACAGAATTCAAGCCTCGAATAGAGGGATTTTTGTTCAAAGTGACTAAGCATCAAGGATTGAGGAGTCCAGTAAAGAAGAATCATTACTTCGATGTGGGGGCACATTACCCAAACGACATGATGTTTTCAAAAGAATTTTTAAAGAAACTAAGCCTGATTTTTAGGGGTTTCTTGATGATGATTTCCAATGAATTTTTATAATAAGCTAAGCCTAATGTTTAGGGGTTTCTTGATATTTTCAAATGATTTTTTAGAAACTAAGTCTGATTTTCAAAGGTTTCATGATGATTATTTTCAAATAATTTTTAAAGAAGCTAAACCTAATTTTTAGGGGATTCTTTATGATAATTGTAAACGAAATATTTTAAGAAACTAAGCTTGATTTTCAAGGGTTTCTTAATGAGTAAGTCCTTCGGGCCATCAGTAAGTCTTTCGAGCATGATGCTTAAATCCTTCGGGTCATCTATAAGTCTTTCGAGCAAGATGATAAGTCCTTCGGACCATCCATAAGACCTTCAGGAAGGATATTTTCAACATTTCCTTTGCTCAATTCACAACACTTCGAATCAACAACGCCCCACCAGAGGGGTTAACATTTCCTATTACTCTATTCACAACACTTCGAATCAGCTTAAGTCATTCGGGCCATCAGTAAGTCTTTCGAGCATGATGATTAAATCCTTCGGGTCATCTATAAGTCTTTCGAGCAAGATGACAAGTCCTTCGGGTGCTTCCAACATTTCCTTTGCTCGATTCACAACACTTCGAATCAGTAACGCCCCACCAGAGGAGTTCAGATTTCCTTTTCTCGATTCACAACACTTCGAATCAGCAACGCATCACTCAATGGATCAACATTTCTAGTGGAAAGATCATGATGAGAAGAACCTGTACCTTGAAGAAGGAGACTCAACCAAGAGAACGAAGCAAGATGACATCATTTGTAGTAAGGACTCGACGATTTCATAGAAATAGAAGAATTGAAATTCCCAGCGAAGAGTTCACAGCTTGACAATAAGAGACCACGTTGAAAAATGGTGCTTTGTGTCTTTGCTCTATTCCCGTTTTACAGCAATGAGAAAAGAGGGGCAGTTGTAAGCACCATTTTTCTAATTCAACCAATAGACCCGGGCCTCAATCCAACCCATTACAAAACCTGGCCCAAACCGAAGTAAAACCTAAACCAGTGCCCAAGACCCAACCAGATCCAAACCCAACCAGAACACAGATTTAATACCCGACCTAGGGCCCAAAACTAGACCCGACCCGGGTCTACCCTAACCCTAGGGTAGCCGCCTCATTCACCAATCAGCACATGCCCTCCTCTTCCCTAATCCCAGTCGAGGCCTCCACGCACGCCACTTCTGCCAACACTCCATCACCTGCAGAAACAAGCAAGAAAAAAACAAAGTTTTGAATCATTTCATTATATAAAAAATAAGTATAAAGACCCATGCATGTAACTGTAAAGGAAGAGGGGTCGAGCACATTGTATTTTTCTTTTTTCGAAGCAATAAAACCATAAGCAGTCAATGTTACTTTTTTCTGTTGTTTTAGTTCAAATCGCTTTTAGCCCTTTTATTTTTTTGTACTATTTTTGGTTCTAAATATCAGTAAAAAAGGGATAGTTTTTTATTTTCAAAATAAAACACTACCTTTTTTCTAATTTTGTTTCTAATAATAACAACATTTTGAAAATGAAATAAAATAATAATAAAGTTTTTTTATCGAATAATCACCATAATAACCAGTTTCATAGTAAAAAACTAAAAAAGGGGGTTAAATCGGGGCTTACCTGAGTCATCATAGGTGTCGCCGGAGTCGACGAAACCCGAAGGGTTTCGGGGGGTTTTCAGGTAGTTTCGGGTTGTTTTTAGGTGGTTTTAACCCCTAAAAAGGACCTAGCATTGTAGATATACATTTATGGAGCATTTTGGGTAAATTTGGGGTTTTCGATGGTCGGAGGTGGAGCGGTGGCCGATAGTGGGCCGGCCGAAACCAGGCAAGAGAGGAGAGAATCTCTCTCATTTTTTTCTAAAAGCACGTTGCAAAAGAAAAAAAGCCAAAAGTTGTATTTATAAAATGTTTTAAGGGAAATTTACTTTTAGGCCCCCTAACAATTCGCGCGTTTTTGCATTCTTGTCACTGGAAGGGACTGATTTCATGATTTTACCATTTCTATCCATGCTTTATAATTTTTGGAATAATTTCCTTTTAGTCCCCTACTTTTAGCGTGTAATTGCCTTTTAATTTAATAGATTATTTTTATGCTTAAATAAATGGTATAATTGCCTTTTAGTTCCTGTAACTTCTGTGTGTTTTTACATTTTAATCCCTAAATCTGTTTATTTTTATTTTATTTCGATTTAGCCTCAAAATTTGATTTGTTTTAATTTAGTCCTATTTTATGTTTATTTTTTCCCATTTAGTTTAGTAATTTCACATATATGCAATTAGGTCCTTATTTTATGTTTATTTTATTTTTACTCTATGTTTTTACTACTTTTTTATTATTTGATATTTTTTATTAGGTTTATTAAATGTCTCAATATTTTATAGTTTAAATTCTTAAATTTAGTTTTATTTGGTTTAAATGATTGAATTGATAAAATCAATAAAATTATTGGATGAAATTGTCTAATTATTGTTACTCCCATAAAATGTAATAATGCCTAAGAAAATAAGTGGTTGTAATATTATCTAAGAAAATAAGAGGTAATGAGATTACTATTGTATTCCTAAAAACTTTGTTAACTATTAGGAATCTTATATTATCTGAAGTCATCCAACGATTTCAGTGGTAAAATAAAATGTTGTTCTCCTTATAGATTTTGAGTTCGAGTTGTTGTATTATTAATTAATTAAGAAAATTATGATCAGATACAGTTTTGTAATCACCCCATCTATTAAAAAAATCTTATATTATCTGACTGATAATGTTTTCTAATAACAATGTATAAAAAAAGTTATATGATTTAAGTTATATTTTAACATTAATAGTA